TTGAGTGGTACACGCTTCCGAAATGTTGAAGAAGTGCGAGAATGGGTGGACGAATGGATTGCTTCGAAACAAACATCGTTTTATCGAGATGGTATCGCCCAGTTGCCAGAAAGATGGCAAAAAGTTGTAGAAAGTGATGGAAAATACTTTCATTGAAATAATTTAAATAAATTTTTTACAATAAATGCTTTTTCTCAGTATTTTTTGGGCGGAAACTAAGTTAAGGTCCTAATAATTCAGTGAACGGGAAAAAACGACAGTATTTTGTAACGTACATATTGACCAAACATGTATGATATTTCTAAATTACAAATTTGCACAATGATACTCCTAATTTTTCTCTCCAGATTGAAAATATCGGTAAATTTGAAGATAGGAGAAATATTGACAGGAATATTGAGGAGAAAATGTTGCTTCTCACGTCTCTGCCTATTGGTAATTCAATATCGATGTCTCAAGATCTCACATTTCTTTACTGCAATCAAAATTCAAGTGAACCTGTCAGTTTGCAGCCAACAACACCGTGCGTCGTCTCATGCGTGTCATTCGTTCGTCTCTGGCCGAAGCGAGACAGTCGCTTCGTGCACGCCGATGTGCGCTCGCGGTACTGACTTCTCATGACTCAGGTGTGTGCTTCACGGTCGGTGCATCGCGCGCATCTCGTCTGCCGGCAAACGAGGGCAAGTCCGTGCGAGCCGCGCCGATACCAGTTACTTGCGTCATCGATTTGTGTGCCGGAGATCTTCCTGCAACTTTCGGCGTCTAGCTCGTGAGAGACTCGCCGCGAGTACGCGTCGCGCACGACGCGCTTAACGACGCGTGAATGAGGAAGACGCGAAAAAACTAGACGAAGTCGAGGCAGATGGAACAGAGGGAACCCTAAGGGAAAGAGAAAGAGAGAGAGAGAGAGAGATTGAAACGCCAGGGTGCAACGGAGCATGCCAAATGGTCTTCTACGTGTATCGGAATGCCTCGTTTACCGTCGCCTAGTGTCGGGAAGCCGGCTTTCTCTTGTTTCCACGGTCAGATTACCGTCGGCGCGATTACGCCGATTTCCGATCACGTCCTGGTTCCGATCCTCCGAAGGCGGCGCGACCCTCCGCCGTTCCGTTCGCCGATACTGAATTTCATCGCCGCGCGATTACACCGCCGTTGTTGCACTTTCTCCCGTAACATTAGGTCGATTTTGCAGCGTCGAACTTGGTCGATGCGAATTATTCCCGAGGGCGACCAATCAAACGTCGTCTCCTCTCTCATACGTGCTTGTCGTTGCCGTAAATACGAATCGAGATTGAACAACTAATTTTACGACGATACGTATAGCATCATGTGCAAATCCTCGCGGGTGAATTAATTAATAAATTAATTACATTTGCAATCCGTCCAACTGTCATGTGCGAATTAATTATACATGGAAACTGATTCTCTGATAATACAATTTAGTATATAAATAATGAACTTAATTAAATTATTGTTAGAGCTTCTTGCATCGGACATGTGATACCAATAACAATCGTCAGGAATCCTTCGAACTCGAATTGCATCACGAATATGTCTCTCGTGAAACAAATGGGCAAAGTGAGGCAACGGTTCAACCCCGAGTCGAACTTTTAATCTTACTTGCAATCTCAATGTTTCATTTAACATCCACTTTGATACTCGGAAATCTATGTCAACCTTTTTTGATTTTATTTAACCTACTAATTCTGCGGAGAGGTCCTTTTTAGAATCTACACTGAGAGAAAAAAGTACTTATAATAAAAGAATAAAAAGAAACTTATAATAAAAAGAAATAAAAAATATTTATTCGGCGAGTACTAATAACATATTTACTTGTTAATGTGAAATACTTATTAAATAATAAATTATAAATGTTCTCAAAATCTTTGCTTTCTATGAAAACTATTGTTTATTCTATTTAAATAAAAAAATTTAGATTTTTACATATGTTAATAGTACCCATCGAATAAATATATAATATTTTTTTTATTTTTTTAGGTATTTTTTTCTTACATTTTGTACGTTTTTTGCTATTTAGGAACTTCAGTTTCCATATCAATCATACACTGATCCTTCAGAATTATACAGATATTAGAAAATTCAGATCGAAAGTAGGGTTAAAATTTTGTCCAGACAGTATCTAATCCTGGGTATTCTTATCTTTTTAGGTACAAATATTTAAACTTCCAATATAAAAAAATATATATACATATATTTTACATTGACAGTTTAAGTATTTGTATTTAAAGACTCAAACAATAAGAATGTGTCTAAGATTAAAAGTACGTGTTCGAGTCGAAATCTGGGTCTTCTTTTTGACCTCAATGTTCCATTCAACACTTACTTTGAGACTCTAAAGCCTAAATCAACCTCTTTTTATTCTATTTTTTCTATTAAATTTTCCAAGAAGTCTTGTTTCAAACCTATAAGCGGCATTTTATGAATTTTCTGCTATTTGAAAGTGATAAATAGAACTTCATTTGATATCAGAAAATTCAGGTGGAAAGTAGGGTTAAAATTTAGATATTCGAGAATCAATACCCTATTTGAGCCTTTTACCTTCTTTCTACCTTAGTGTATTTGTACGTGATCCACGATTGGTATCGAGTTGCGATAATTAATATTCCAACCCAATAGAACGCGTTATAAGGGCAACCAGGTCGAGAACGCGATGCATCACGAAGACGTAGCGACGCCGCAATAGGATCGCTCGAGTCGATGCGACTTGAACGAAAAGGATCTCGCGCGTTCCGCCATCGATCAAACAACCCCCGAAGGGCCGAGCCACTTACCGTGCAGCGCATTAACCTTGCTTGCAAGCGAGAGGGCCCGCGCGTCAAGCGCGTCTCATAACGTCGCTTTAATTCCGGCAGATGAGCCCGCTCCGTAGGTCTGCTTCCGCGTCAGAGAGGAAACACGACCTTGCCCTCGCTGAATCGTCCCTTCTGCGTGCCTTCTTCTTCTTCCTGCTGGGCTCACCGTTGCCTCTACCGTCCGCTCAATCACTTCCTCACTGAACTTCTTCGCGGGTCGACCCGACGACGCGAATCGTGCGCTGCGTAAATTGCGAATCGCGGATCTACCTGCGCCGATCACGCATCGAGATCCAAGTCGAATTTCGAACCGGTGCGCCGATCCCCGCGATCCTCGTGGGAATTCCCTCAATGTCGTGCGGCTGCCAAGCACTCTTCGACCGTGTCAGCATTGGCGATCCCTCAGGAAAGAGAGAGAGATAGAGACCCGGGTGTACTCGCCGGCGAAATCCACGAGGGCACTCTCGTTTACGGCGATCTCCTCGTCTGATGACTCTTACGCGCTCGCACCGATCTGTACCGCGCGGCGATCGTCCATCCGGTTAGCAAACGGGATGGTACCTGTCTGGCCTCGTCGTGCCTCGCGCTACGGCATGTGCTGGAGTCGCATGGCTAAGTCATAAGCGGCGCCTTCGACGACGAAGACCAGTGGTGGTGGCTGCTGCTTGCCGTCGGTCGGTGGTGGAGGTCGTTCATGGTGGAGGCAACGTGCGTTCGACGGTAGCCCGATCGAAGAAGAAGGGGCACCGCTTCGCCGAGGACAGGAGCTGTCGAGGAGGCGGAGGTGGTGCAGGTGGAAGCGGCGGGGGAGGAGGAGGAGGAAGAAGAAGAAGAAGAGGAGAGAGAGAAGGCCAGGGCCAAGAAGAGAGGGCACTACCGGGGAGAGAAGGAGAGAGACAGAGAGAGAGAGAGAGAGAGAGAGAGAGAGAAAGAGAGGGAACCAGGAGAAACCAAAGTGGGTCAGTGGCCAGGTCACGTGGAGAAGAACGGGGCCCAACGTGCAGGACGGCGACACACTGTCCTACTCATCCAACGGCCGTCTTGGCTGCTCCAGGTTCTGTCTGCCCATTCAGGAAACGTTACGCGGTGCCGTCGTGGAAACGAGACGAGCGGTCGGTCCTCCCGCCGGCGGTAGTCTCTTCCGAGAGACAGCGTGGCCGCGAGCGACGCTTTTGGCGGAATCCTTTGGACGAGAATCGCTCGAACGAGGAGCCGCGACGAGAGTCGTACAGTCAGTCAGCTGACGAGAGAAGTTTTTCTGATGCATGGGCCATCAGCCGCCAGTTGGTCCTTCCGTCTTGATTCGCGTTAACGACGATCGTACGCTACGGGAAAGCAGCATTCGCGTCTGATAACGAGAGCGGGGAATTGTTCGGGTACGCCTCGGGTGGCTTCTTCGTCTTTCAGCGCGGGTACCGATAAGCATCGCTAACGGGCCGCGGGTAATATCTCTACGGGTCCGGTAATGCGCGTGAAAATCTCGCCTCCACGTATCCGGCGAGCGAGTGCTCGCTCGTGGAAACAGTTGGAGGAATTTCACGGCTGGGACGCAAAGAACACGTTTCTGAAGCAGATTAAAGCGTACATCTCGCGACACCTGTTCTCGTGCGATGTTCCTGAGATCGTCGAAATATCTCCCTCGAGCCACCCTTGTTTTGTTCCACACGTTCGTCGCTTGATCAAAATTAAGGTCGGCAGACCGTGCTGTAAGCAGTGATAAAAGCGACTTCGCTTATTATAATTAGAAGCGGAAGCGTAATGGTGCGCATTGCCTTTGAGAGAACGGTCTGAAAGAGATAAATGGGTTTCCCCCTATTACACATTGGGGAAAAAAAGAAGAAGCGCTCCGTCTTCATCATAATTCTCATAGGAATTAATAAGTTTTCCTTATTAAGAAGATATAGAGCGGAGAGGCGAGTCGTAATATAAGCGCAATTTTTCTCGCACAGTGTTACACGGCCGCTTTCGAGTAAGGAACAGTCAAATACAAATCGATAACTTTTACGTTGCCGAAATGATCACAAAAAAAATTTATCACACATAAAAAGACATTAAATTGGACTGACGAGTTGTTTTTGTTACTGCTATCTATGAAATGACCAAAGAACCATGACCAAGCGCCCATATAGACGTTCCGTTCCTTTTCCAAACATTTTGAATATCCCAATTAAGGATACGTTTAAAGCTGATGTCAAATAGATTAAGAATATAAAGTCTAGAAATTATTCTCGTAATCGTTTGGGAGATGAACGGTCCAAAAATTTACAACTTCAATAGTATTTGTTGAAAATAATATTAAGATTTTATATTCTTGATCTTTGATTTTATATTCTTGATCTTTTATATTCTTGATTTCCTAAAGTTTTTGATCGTCCTAAAGTTTAAATCGATGTATCATTTATTGGAATATTCAAAGTTTCACAAAATCTCACGGAAAAGAGACCAAACTTGGCTGCACTCTTTACGTATAATTATTTACAAATGTGTTTGAGATGAAGATTTCAATATAAATTTGGAGATAAATGTGTAAAGTCAGATACTAGGGATCAGAAGGGGAAGTTAAATATCTGAGATTTTAGGAATTTGCGTTGTGCTCGTAGCGATTCTCCATCGGCTTCTCGAATTTGTTTTAAAGCTTGGTGTACTTCGGTTTTTGGATTTGTTTTTGTTAAGTCGTCTGTGTATCCGATTCACGACTTTTATAATCTTTTTCCTCCGTTACATGCGGAGGTCTCATCAACGACTAATAATGTACGTCCGACTTCCGGCGTTTGCGCGTCTCCGACTTCCCTCTCGCGCGGGGTATTAAGTGTTCCTACTTTCAGATACAAGAGGATAATTACAATGGAGTGGTGTAACGAGTTGTATTACGAGCTAGACGTCGTCTGTCTGTTATAAAGGTCCGTATATCCCTAATGATATTATCTCATTATCGCTAATGACACACGCTTGCTAATGGAATGAGGATTACCGAATGAAAATCGTAAACACACACGTATACGCATACAACAGCGCTCGTAAGCACGCGCTCGTGAGCTCTGCTGCGTGTATATCATATTACCGTGAAGCAGCTATTAATTAACGGATTGATTATCCCGCTCGTTAAAATTCATCCTTTTTCATCGTCAAACTGGCGAGTTCGCGGAAAGAGCTGAGGGGAAACTGTGGCTTCGGCGCGAACGAACGAAAGTAATCTTGTGCTTTATCGCGCGTCGCAACGTCGAAAAAAGCTCGAAACTCACACAAACGCCTCTTATTACCGTGATAATGCGAGTTGCGCGCGCGAACTTGCAATATCGGTCGATCCCGATTAGCTTCGAACTTAGAGCATGCGACGTGATACAGTGACATTACGGTGCGGCCGTAAATTTTTATACATCTCGTGTTTCGCCGCGTCGTTTTTTTGTTCTTTTTAATTAACTTTTTAGAAGAGACAGAGAGGAGCTTAAAACGCATTTGTGAGTCTTTTTACTCTTTGTTTATTTGGAGCGGTTTCTTCGTGATATAAACTACTTTGTATACATATGTCTCTCTCTCCCCTCCCCTTCCTCTCTCTCTTTCTCTCTCTCTCTCTCTCTCTCTCTCTCTCTCTCTCTTTCTCTGTCTGGCGTATCCATCTGAGATTACGAATTTGAAGTCAAAAAGTTAAAGTGGCGAATCTAATATGGCAATCATAAGTTTTCAAAATTAGCAATTCCGCTTGTAGTATTATCCGGAAATAACATTTTCTCGATATGAAAAAGAGATATTTGCGTTTTTAACGAGAAATTTCCAACATATTAAATAACGTATTGCGTTTTTAACGAGAAATTTCCAATATATTATCGATATTTCAATATTTTATGTTATAATATATTGATATTTTAATATTTCAAATATTGTAAAAAATAGGTTTACAAAAAATTTGGAAAAGTTTAAAATACTGTTAATTGTTCTTAAATAAAAATAGTAAACTGTCGATGTTAAAAAAATAAAAAACATGTAATGAAAAAATAATAAAATAATAAACATGTCAATACGTCGATTCCTAATAGTTAGCGCTAAAATGATTTTTATCTGAAGGAAATACCTCTTTTTTTACTTTTATTTGCTTATAATTTAATTTAACACTCAAACAATCAAATTAATTTTTTTACTTATTTTTAGTTTATATTATTAGGTTATGTTTATAAAAGAAAATGTATAATAATAGTATAATTGATTATCTATCAATAATTTAATTGAAATCACTAAAAATGAAGAAAAGATAGATGCTAGCGGTGAGACGCTAGTGTCTCATTATGGTTCAAAAAATTAACATGATTATGAGATATTACAGATATTAGCACCTGTTTACATGCGGCAGTCAGTTTATTACATATCTCCAATTAGTTGCGAGCTTTGAAGACTGCTGAGCTTTCATTTGAGGAACAACGTGTACGATTATCGTCTCGTCGCTCATTAATATATTCTGTCCACAAAGGAAACAGGTTACTCTCGTAATCCTATTTGTGTAATCGGAGCGAGACGAAATGTTCGACAAGGTACGTCGTGGCTTTCGCGACTGACGATTCGCTACCAGGAATCTTAATTGGCACATGGTAGCCGAATTTCACTTCATTTCGGAGTCAGATCGTCTTGAGACCGCGTCGATTCCGCGTGATTAATCACGTGGGCCGACGTGGGGAACTCTCGAAACGCTCGACTTTCATTTATTCGCATAGAACATACATGCACTCGAGAAATTATTTCACACAGAGAGATATGTATGTGTGTGTGTGTGTGTATGTGTGTGTACAATGAAATTACTAAAATAATTATAATATAAATTACTAGTTACGTCATAATTTTATTATTATTTCAACGTGCTTGCCTTGCAGCTTAAGATTATGCTTTGTGTTCTATAATTCTTATATATCTCCTATCTTTCTTTCTTCTTCCCTTACATAATAAATATTGATCATTCTCGCAAAATTAAACAAAAATTTAATATTACTTATGATTTATTATATTTACTAAATTATTAATTTTTTACACTACTGAACTGTTCCATTATTAATCATTAAACTCTTATCTCTAATTATTGAATCATCAATTGTTAAGATATTTAAACACTGAATAACTAAAAATAAAACAGCTTACACACTAATTTTATTTATCTAATAAAATTTCTAAAGCACTTGCAAATACCCTATTAATCTTTATTATCTTATTCTCTTTCTTCTCCGGATTACTAATTATGTAAAAGTAATCTAAAAATACTAATAATAATAATAATAGTAATAGTAATAATAATAGTAAATAATAGTAATATCTAATAATAATAGTAATCAAAACAGGTTATCGTCGCTATACAAACATATACAATATACCACATATACAAACTATGTTACAAGCATTTTCTCCAATGTATCTATAAATCTTTAAGTGCAAATAATTATTAACTTATCAGATATGCATTTTTGTTTGTTTTTGAGAAATTGGCGTGATATTTGTTACAACCGTGATAAATCTGGCATATTATATATGCAATATTAAAGTGATTTTTAATAATGTTTAGATAATACAATCTCACTGTAGTGCCAACTGCCTTCATAAATTTTCGCGCGTATCCTCCACGGGTACTTCATCCTCGGC